ATATATGTAAATATTCTATGTATATGTGTATGTATACATGTATATATTGTGTATATATTACTATACAGACAAATGATTAATTATATAATGTATATATTGTATGTATATGGATACATGTATATATTGCATCTGTATAGTAAATTTATGTATACATTACTATACAGACAAACAAATGATTACTTACATATTGTATACAGGTATATATTGTATGCCTATGTATATGGACACATGTATATAATGTATATATATAGTAATATATGTATATATTACTATACAGACAGACAAATGATTCATTATATTCTGAATATAGGTATATATTCTATGTATATGTGTATGTATACATATGTATGTTGTATATACATTGTAATATATGTATATATTGCTATACAGACATACAAATGATAAGTTACAAACTGTATATATGTATATACTGTATGTGTATGTATACCTGTATATATTGGATATGTATTGTAATATATGTATATTTTACTATACATACAAATGATTTATTATATATACTGTATATATGTATATATGGTATGTGCATGTATACATATGTTGTATAGATATTGTAATATATATTAATATACTGACATATAAATGATTAATTATATATGTATGTGTATGTATACATGTATAAATTGTATGTATATGTGTGTATATATAGTAATATATGTATATATTCATATACAAACACACAAATGATTGATTTCTGATATAGATCATTAATTTCTGAAAGTCATTTTCTTCCTTTATAAAATGTGACTGCCACAGACCCAGGGAATGAAGAAACACTGCAGACCACATCCGATTTACTCTGCCCATTATAATATCGCCTAAATTTCACTGTAGGAGTTTTGCTTCTTCCCTGGCTCTTGTTCAACGGGGACAGTTTAGCACCAGAATTTGAATTCCCCTTCTTTTCTTCCTTAGCCTTCAGGACAACCAGAAAGTCCTTTCCAGAATAAAGGAGAAGTTGGACAGGACCTCAAAGCCTCCCTGGTCCCATCCCCATGGGTCCAACCTCCACCAGCCCAGGCTGCTCCAAGCCCCAGCCCATACGGACACGCGCTGTTCCTACACCTCCTATTGGTGATGCACAGGAGGTTCCACTTCAATTGGAGAAGAAACTTCTTCTCAGTGAGGGTGCCAGAGCCCTGGCCCAGGCTGCCCAGAGAGGTTGTGGAGTCTCCTTCTCTGCAGACATTCAAAACCCGCCTGGACGCCTTCCTGTGTAACCTCATCTGGGTGTTCCTGCTCCGGCAGGGGGATTGGACTGGATGAGCTTTGGAGGTCCCTTCCAATCCCTAACGGTCTGGGATTCTGTGTGATAACCAAAACCAGGACGTAAATTCACTTAAACCAACAGCAGTCATGTAAATAACCCATGTGGGAACACCAATATTTCCATAAATCGGCACTAAAGCCAGACCCTTTCAAGGACCGATCCTACAACAGCCTAGAAACAAGAGACAGAAGACACGGTAGCGTGGGTCCTACCTGAAAATCCACCAATTCCAGAAATACCAATAATCAGTCACCTGGTAAATTAAGAGTTTTAATAAGATACCGGAGGAAGGAAGCAGCTCTTGGTTTCTCTTCATTTCCAGGTCTGCCCGCATCACTTTTACAACCAGAGCTCATCGGGGCCATAAGAGCCCTCAAAAACCGCTCCCAAACGGTGTATTTTCCCCTCACCTTCAACCATAAACCCCTCAACTGATTAAAAACTGGTTTCATTTACTATTTTCTCTTCGCTGAAAGCACTCGAAGCCAGGAAAGCGCGAGGGGAGAGGTTTTTAAGAGGGCAATATACTTTCAGTACCCCTGAGCCGTTGGCTCCGCGCGGAGCCGTTACCTTTTAGCGGCGACCGCTTTATTGACCGTTAATGCTTCGAAAAGCGCGGCGAAATCGCTTTCGGAGCCTTTATTGAGAGAAAAAGAGATACATATCCCTCGTGCCTGGCAATTTCAAGCTCCCGAGACGTAAATGTTGATGTATTCTGCGTTGCCAAACAGCATGGGAAGGACTTCAAATGCTGTGGAGGGACTTGGGAGTTTAAAAGCGATGCTGACCGAGATGAGGCTGTAATTTGGGGAATTAATCTCGTCCCAAAACCTGCCTGGAAATGTTAAAGCTCGGGGTATTTGCTTTAAAGTGTTGCATTGGGTGTAAAAATGAGAGACTGAGTGAAACGGGGATGAAACCTGGTACGTGAACGGCGTCTTTCGCTCACCAAGACAGCGCAATCCCATCGAGCATCCATCAGCTCCTTAGGCCAAGAGCATCAGGCCGTCCCTAGAAAGATCAGGCTATCCCCAAAATGATCAGGTTATCCAAAAAAGAGCCCATTTAGCAGCAATATCTCATCCATCACACACCAGATCAGGAAAATGCGGCTTTCCAGGGCTATAACAGTACCCGTAACTCCATCCTACCCCTGTGGAGCAAGGCGTTTCTGCATTTCTGGTGCCCAGCAATGATGAACTTGATCCCAGCCTCCTAAAAACCTCCCTTTTCCCACTGCCAAAAACCTGTAAAAGCGCCTGAAGAGCAACACAAAGCCGCTGCCAATCCCACAACGACTCCTCCTCTCCGAAAAAGGTACTAAACCAGAAAGACTCCCAGCGTTTTAGCGTGCGTGCGATCTTCAATTCATCAGAAAAGCTGCTCGTTTCTGACTTTTAGGAGGGGGGTTTTTTTTTGCCTATTTCGAAGCCAATAAATAGGCAGCGAATAACAAAGAGGCGATCAGCCGCATTTAAACGCGAATAATACCTTGTCAGAAGGAAATTACTGCCGTGCAAGTGTCAGATCTTTTGAGAGGGAGGAGGAAAAACTACAAAAAAACCCTTCAAAAGTGCTTTTTTTTTTCTTTCTGTTCAATAAAAGAGCAGCTTTGTTGCAAGCAGCAACCTAAAAAGACAAGAATCTTTCGTGCTTACCTGCTACCATGACCTTAGCGGCTCGGCTGATGATGGCCCCGACGCCGTCCAAGGATGCTTCGCACTGGTAGAGCCCCTCGTCGGGTTTGTGGTGCCGGGAGTGGACGATGTTTTGGATGAGGAGGGAGCCGTTGGCCAACTGCTGCCTCCTCTCGTCCACCGCCAGGTTGAGGAAGGCGGCGTCTTTCTTCCATTTGAGAACGGGGGCTCCGCGGTCCGATTCGGCCACGCAGTTCAACAGCACCGCGCCGCCGCGCATGGTGACGGCGTCCAAGGGCTCGGTCAGGAAGCGAAGTGACGTGAAGGGCTTGGTTTGGGAACCTGAAATGGCAAAACCAGAAGAAATAGCATTAAATATTAGTTATATAGGTCTAAAATGAAAGAAATATGCCGTATTAGAAACAAAAAGGCAATGTAGGAAACGTCCGAAAGACACAGGTTGCAAATATTAGAAGAAATTAAGCGTCGTTTCTGTGCAAATAGTTCACGCAAAAAAGCCCAAGCATAAATAACATCCTCAACCCATCCCTATAAGAGCAGTATTTGTAGATAAACAGATCTTTTAGCTGTAAAACACGGAGATAAAGCAAAGCTCACAACCAAAGTGAGGATTAGCATAAACCCACCACCACCTATTGAGGTTTACGGGGACAATTGGATTTCTTACAGGACCTACCCTAACCACACAAAATGAGACGCATTTCAAGCAGAGAAGTGGTGTTGGGTCTCAACTTATTTGGTGTCAGCAAGCAAAACCGGTGCCAAAAGCCGGTGGATCTTGCTCCCCCTCGCCACGACACCGCTGTCCTCGCTACCAACTTATGGTTTCAGCAAGTTCAGCCCTTTCAGTAACAGAGCCAGAGCTGAGAAGTCAAATCACCGAATAGAAAATGTTCTTTAGCTCAAACCAGGCCAGGGGAGAGAAAGAATAAAAGAGGAGGATGAAGAGATAACGAAGGGATGCGGTGTTAAACCGCCCAAAGAAGACATCAGCTGCTGACAAAGGCAATCCCTCGCAGGAGCTTGAAGCCAGAGATGGGCAGAAGGAGCAAAAATAAAGCTGCTGTTTCCACAGTGTGATTTTTTTTTGAGATGCTGATGTGCTTCGGGGGAAAAAATGAGAAGGAAAGCAGAGGAAAACCAACCTGAATGACTCCATGAATGAGGGCTCTAAACCAGGGCAGGTCCTCATGGTGCTAAGGGATCACCCATGGCCCTACAAACAAAAACACCTCACAGATGTGCCCAATGTTTCCTTAAAATACTCAAATTTTATGTACGGACCAAGCAAAGCAACACGCAAGGAGGGTAACAGGAGATTGGTTGTGTCGTCCTCCCATTGCCATGCCCGAAGTATCTTTAATTCAACGGTCTCTCTACTCGTTTACGTGCCCCGAATGCATCGTTTCAGCTTCTGAGAAAGCCCAAAGAAGTAGGATTTTTAAACGAAAAGTCTAATCTGAGCCATAAAACATCCAACCTCAAGCGAAGCTGCTGCTGTAAGGGATAACCAATGAATATTTCACTGTTCCCACTGCATTTCCTTAACGCGTCAGCCTTTCCACCAGCAAAAAAAAAACAACCCAATTGCATTTCATTTTCGAATAAAGCACAGTTTCCTTCTTTTAATTTCTTTTAACTCCACGTGTCTCAACTACAGAAATATTATAGGGCCAGGCTACACAAAGTCCCAAAGGACAGAACGGCTCAGGCTCCCTCCAACCACAAGTTTTTCCCATTAAGCTTTACTGATCACTTTAATAAAATCCAACACAGAATGTGCTGGGTTGAAGGGATCTTTAAAGCTGATCCCCTCCCACCCTGCAGTGAGCAGGGACTTTGGTACCA